TTTTTAGATTTTAATCACTCAGGCATATTTCAAATTGATTTTTGTCGTTTCAATTTCAGATGTAAAGTGCATGGTCCTTAAAACAAAATATTGAAGATGCTGGACTTAAGAAACAAATATTTGTTAAAACTGAAACTGAACTATTCTTTTCCGTGGTTTTAATTTTATTCAAAATTCTCATGATATGAATTCCAGAATAAACTTAGAATTCTGCTCTGAATTAACATGGATTTCTTCTGAAAATAACCAGAAAACGCTCCGCGTAGTAATTAGAACAGCATAAATCTTTCGAAATTTTATTTAGAAACCCCTTATAGTATTGTAAAGAATTTCTTTCTAATTATTAGCAATAAATTTTGTTGGAGCTCTGTGATGAATCTTTCGCACTAGGGTTTAAATTATCACCAGAACACTCTTAGAACTCTGTGTATTGATGAATTCTCATCATAATTCTCTAGGAATTCTTCTTTTTTCTCACGATCCTCATACAAATCTCCTCAGAATCACGCAGGAATTTTCTTGCAATCTTTTCCACAGAAATCCCTCCAAATTCTTCTAACAATTTCTAAAAACTTCATGTCAGAATAATTCTGGAATTCTGCTCAGAACTTCTCCTTCAAAAACTATGTGGGAAACCTCCTCAACATTTGTTTAAAATCAACACTTTGAATGCTTTTAAATTTTACTAAAAATTCCAGGGTTTGTCCGCAAGATTCAATCGATAGAATCTGTAATTTGTTATAACCCTTAAAATTCTTCAAAGTCTCAGAGCCTTGATATTTATAACGACTATTTAATAAATATGATATTTTATTTCAAATCTGTGATCTTGAAAAAAAATCAAAATCTCATATTTTAACTATTTTTTCTCCAAATCACGACGATTGTCATTAATCCCAAAATTTGAAGAAAAGTTCTACAGTTTCAGACTCAACACAAATTTCAAAGCCCCAGAATCTTGGGGGCTTAAATCATTTTTTTAACCTTTTAGTAAATATCCTTTCAGTAATGAAGTAATGAAATTGGGTCGTTAGCGGAATGCTTAAATAAAATAGGCCAACATAAAGGTTATCTTCCATTTAATTCCACTTAATTAATTTTGGTATCCATGACAGATACGTATTTCGACTACAATGTGCAGTCTTCATCAGTGTCATTCCCACTAAAGAACTTTTCAAAATCTAACCCCCTTAGGTAGGTTCCGATTCAACACATTGTAGTTTCATTTTTATACCTGTGATCTTGACTTTTATACCTAGGGGATGAGAACTTAAGGGGGTTAGATTTCGAAAAGTTCTTAAATGGGAATGACACTGATGAAGACTGCACATTGTAGTCGAAATACGTATCTGTCATGGATACCCAAAATTAATTAAGTGGAATTAAATGGAAGATAACCTTTTTTTTCACTTTCAGTAATGTTTTTCAAGTATTGGTCAATTGGACGTGGGTATTAAATTTCATGAACCATGTTTACTTTCACGTTGAGCGAGTTCCAACGTCAGTAGGTTTTACATATTTTTTCGTGTTTAACTTTGTGCTGCGCGAGTGCTGTAAGGTTAATATTTATGTTAGTATAGATAACGGAGTGAAGACACATTTTCTTTTTCCGATATCTCTAACAATTTGCTCTAATTTTCATTTGTATCAAGTTCATTTTTTTCTGAAATATTTTTTTATTAAATATATTTTTTTTTTGTATTGAATGAAAAACCACAGAATTCACCATTCTGTATTTCATGAGGAAAACTTTTTCTTCTTTGACAATTTTTTTTTTTTTCTTTATTTACAAGGCTTTCAGCCATTGGCTGGTTCGCCTTGGGGCTTTGACAATTGCAATAGGGTGTGTAACAATATATTACAACAAATGTGTGATTTTTTTTATTTCTAGAAGCGATTGATTTCAAGATATAGTTCAAAACTATGCTGAGTTTTCATTGCCAGATTACTTAACCGCTATCGCTACTAATCTTGCTTATTAAATAAACTATGTTTGTTTAACTCGTATCATTTTTTATTCAACGCTTAGCCTAATTCAAGCATTGTTTACCATGCTCGAAACAGGTTTCTAGAGTTGCACAACAGCAAAGAATTTTATGCCTAACGTCCATTATGCCTAACGTATATTATGCCTAACGTCCATTATGCCTAATGACTTTATGCCTAACGTCCGTATGCCTAACGTCCGTATGCCTAACGTCCGTATGCCTAACGTATTTATGCCTAATGGGGTACACTCGATAGGACATCGTTTGCTGGCTGCTGCCGCAGGTATTGTGGGTTTCCCAGATTCAAGCTTAAGTGAGCTGCGATTGCTATTGTTTTCCTTCTATCCCTAAATAGATAGTGAATTGCGCCTATGTGATGTTTTGCTGTACCTGTTGTGGACATTAGTATATCCTTTCCCTTAAACTTGTTAAAGACACTCTGTCATACCTCAAACGTTATGCTTTTTTAAGTACTGTTCTTCAAAACCATAAAAGGCACCATTGCGGAGCATTACATTTGTTCAAATTATTCGCAGTTCTATTTGTGCAACGCTCACAAACTCTACCGTTAGCATTAGCATCGAACAAGTTGCACAATATCGTAGGTGGTACGAATTCAAAACTATTAAGAGCAAGACGGATATCTATTACTGGACAGATAGTAAGTAGGAAATAATTACTATCTCCCAGATAAAAAAAATCTCACTCCAACAGTTAAGGATTGTCCTGGCCACGTCCTTGCAACTGGTAGGGATAGGAAAGGTATGTTAGTCCAACATTAAACTTAAGAGAGATGAAGAGAACTCTACGACCCCTCATAAATATCTCGGGAATTTAGGAATTATGTTAGTAGGAAGGCAAGCCATAGGATACACCCAGTCAGTGTTGGTGGCAAATAAAGATTTTTTTTTTAAATAAATGGTGAAATTGCTGTCCAATGCGACTGCTGGAATAAAATGAAGATATAACATGGTGAACTCACCATCGTTGTCACATCCGTAGCTAGTCCATCTTCTGAAAACTGTTATTCGAAAATTATTTGTCCGATCGATTTAATGCTCTAGTTTCTTGTTCAGGGGATAAAGTTGTCTATATGAGAAAAGAACTGAATTTATCCGCCTATGGTGAGATCTGGCCCTACGGAGTGATCTTATTTTTGAATCCTCGTTGGATTTGATGGGTTTTAGTTCAAGTCAGATTCTGGCCACTTCTTTGGCGGAACCAGGAACATATCAAGATTGTAGCCAATGTGGCTAGAATCGACCTGAAACGTGCCTAGGGCAACATTGGCCCCTCCCAGCCATATTTCGAGATCCCCCGAGAAAGTATCCAGAATCTGACTTGAGCTGAAACCCATCATGCGACCCGGATTGCAGCCACCTTGACTGTCCAGGACCACATCCGGATATGTTCCGAATGCTGCCCCGGGGGAAGATAATAAATCCATTTCCCGTTTTCCCCAATTATTTCCAGGAATTTTGGTAATTTTCCCGGTTATGCGATTTACATTTTATCAAGTATTAAACCAAATACCACAGACAAACAGACATAACACATTGAATATTTCTCACTATTATTTCTCGCTATAACATTACCGCCATCTGTTGCATACACTGTGGTGGGTAGTACGCTGAACAGATGGCGGTAGTGTGTAGACGTCAAACGCAAGGGAATTGACTATGCGCGCCACAGGTAGCGGTACTACCAACTATGATACTTTTAAATTGACCGTTAAATGCTTGTTCGATGAACAACTTACAAGAGTTATATCTGTTTGTCTGTGCAAATACGATTGAGCCAAATGGAGGTCATTACTAAAACAGCGGAAATTTTCCAGGATCTTAAATTTGATTCTGCGTTCGATCAACATTTGTCTGTATTCGCTCAGAACTTGAATGATACAGAATTTCTTTGGAATGTTCTCCAGAATTTCCTCCTCTTTCCTCAGAAATCTTCTGAAATAAATTTGAGATTCTCTCTGGTCCCTCGAAAATGTCTTATTAACAGTGCATAAAATCTCTGCAGAACACTCCAAAAAATTCATGGAATTTATCCTAAGGTTCTCTTCGAATTGTTGATGATTCATCCAAGAATTCACTGCAGCTCCCTTCAGTAATTCTACATATTTAAAATGAGCTTGATTTATTCTCTTATAATTTACAGGCAATTTACCTCAGAATTGTCTTGAAATTCTATAATCACAAACTCTACCTATGGACAACATTTCATAAACTTCTGAGACTCTTCGTTCCAAACCTGTCCGATAATTGAAAAAAACCCCATACAAAAATTACTTATCCTCGAACAGATATGCGTATTTTGGATAGAAGGAGAAACAAACTGAAAACAAAATTCTTTTATGCATATATCTGGTTAGGCCTTACCACTAAAACGAAAAAAAATAAATAAAAAAAAATATTTAAGTTCTGTACATTTTGATGAAGAGAAAAAAAAATCGAGAACAAGATTGCAAAAACTCCCAACGATACCTAATCCAAATGGTATAACACCATGATGTGTTTTGTGTTTCATTACTGAACATAATTATTGAAACCCTGATAGAGAACTAATTCTAAAATGTCCTACTGGGACTCTTGATGTGTTAATTTCTATTCCAACGTTTGAAGATTAAACTACTTAAACATAATTCTTCTTCTTCTTAAACATAAAAAATCACTCCTAGAAAACACTAGCTGAGCATTGCAAAATTAGTCACACCATAATCATTACTAACCAACCACAATACGTTCTCGTACAATTGAAAGGTTCCCCTTCGGGGCAAAGGAAATGGAGAAGGCAAACGCCGCGAACCCGGTTCATTCAAGACTCTTCGTGTACATATTGGCGGGTATTGCGGGCAATGACATACACACAATTTATTTCAATACACATACGCGCAAACTAATTACACCATTCCGGCCCACAACAGTGCGGAGCAAGCGATGAGTGTGCACAAAAAAAAAACTACAGGCTCATTAAGAACACATTTCCTAATTCAATTTATTCCGCCAGTCTGTCTCATCGCAGCAAAATCATCCCGGCTCGCGAGAGTGGAACAACAATGGTGCTTTTGAATCATCGGCTCGATACTGTAGTGATCCCACGTTCGTCATCAACGCTGGCAGCGATCCTCATCAGCTTCATCATCATCATCATGAGTTGGTGTTGAAGATCGACGAAGATCACGACCACGATAAGCCGGAGAAACGTTCTCAGCGATTCAATAACTCTTCCAACAGTCGACTGTTCACCGTTGGTGCTACCGACAATAGTCAATCGTCGGATTACGAAAACAACACCTGCAGCAGCAGTCGGGAGCTGCAGGATAGCTTGTCTGACGATATGAGCCTGCTGGAGGAACTCAGCGTGTACGATAGTCACGAACACGAGGAGGACTGCTCCGATAGTAAAGAAGCGGAAACGTCTCCCAAGCAGTTCCACCATCCGCAACATAGCGGCAGCGTGATTGGAAGATCACAGCAGCACCGTTTACTCCAGCAGCAGCACGCGGACAAGCTGAAAACCAGTACAAATAGTCTACCTTCCACTAGCCGCAATTTTAGTCTACACCATAAATTTAGAAATCATCAGAACGTAATCGATGCCAAAAGACGACAATTTTTCCTGCCCCTGGAGCAGGAACCATTCCAGCCAGTCAAATCGAACATCACCGAGTTGCCGTCGCCGAGCAGCACCTCACTGCACAGTGGCTACAGCCACCTGATATTGGAGGACCTGGGAACCAAGTCCAGCTCAGCACCGTTGCTGATGAAAAATGAAGAACCGGAGATTGGAGAGCGGAGGGTGAGTTTTTTTTTGTGAGGCTGTTTAGTCGAACTGGTGAACTAATTGTATGATTTGTTTCCTTGTCTTTGCAGAACTTGAGATACTCACGATCGCAGAGCGATCGGCATTTGGCAGGTGAGTTGTCGATTTTTGATACTATTTGATATAAAATCCTTGAGGTGGAATTCCACGAAAAATGCTCAGAAACTCGAGTTGTTCCCCCTAAAAACTAAACGATACATTAAATGTGAAACGCTTCCATAAATCAATTCGAGCGATTAGTTGCCGGGAAAAATTAGGCATTCCTCTCGATTTCTTAAAATTTAAATCATGGGATGCTTCTGCTGGGCATGGGCGCTCGCTTCAAACCTAAAGCAAAGGCAATGGCAACCAACAAAAAACCAATCTCAGCCGATAAACATTCCAACCCAAAATGCCTAAAATTCAGGTCGCACCACAAAGACAAAGCGCAACGCCAAATTCTTCAGCCAAGGGAAGAACAGGCATTCATTTTGCCGAAAAAAAACGCGCAAAGCAGGTAGATATATCTCCCACGTCATATCTTATCGATATGACCGAAAGCGCAGCCAGCCAGAGCGCTTGAAAAGGGTACAAGGACACCCCGTCCGTGCTCATTCCGAAGCCACCACCGACCAAGCAACAACGAAAGAACGGATCCAACGGACATTGAATGAGAATATGGATACGATTTTTTTTTATTAAAATTCGATAAATGTGCTGATGAAAATGCGAGAGAAAGTTGCACTGATTCTCAGGCTGAAGGATAGATTTTCAATACACGATGTATGCTATAAAGTTCTCAAATTGTAACGGGGGAAAAATCAATTAAAGAGAAAATCTCCCACATATGGAGGGAGCCGATACTTCATCGTGATCGAAATTTTGTGTACACTCATAAATCTACGGTTTTGTCGAAAGCTACATGCTTAGGTACATGATGAAGAGCTTGGTGGAAGCAAACCAGAGCGTGAGAGCGATTTTCCTCCTAGATTTTTAATATCGTACGTCGTCGGGCAGTAAAAGGGAGCGCGAAAGGGATGTCATCTCCGGCAGGTTGAAGTTGTACAGAGATGGAACATCATCGATGCAGCCTCCTCCTCTGGTTGCTATTTGTTCCTTTGTTGCTTACTCCCGGGAGCACGAAGCCAGCAACGGGAGCCAATATATGCTAATGCTCTCACTTCGAAAGTGAAAATCTGTGTGTGCATTGTTAATTGGCGAGCTTCTTTGTTTGTAGGCTGTAGGGCATTTTAGGCTGCCTGTGCTACGTTTCCTTTTTTCTGTTAATAGCTGTTGTAGTGGCGCAAAATATTATGTAACCATTAATCAACATTAATCGTACACAAATCTTACGCGCAAAGTGCTGTGAATGGGACAATTCGTGATTTCAATCATTGGTAGCTTGTTAGCTTGCTAGAGTTGTTGCTTTTGTTTTATTTTTTTTCATCCTGTGTTGCTGCTCTTTCCGAACAAAATCGAAAAAGTGCTTCTCGGATAGAATCCTCCGAACCCAATTGCCTTCCGGACCGGACGACGGAAGAAAATGCACCGTAGGATGTCCAGCTTTCGCGAGTATAAATTTTTCCGAAGCTTTTCAGCGAAGATTGAAAATTGGCACATCCGCAAGGCGGAATCCCTCTGGAAGCGAATGCGGGAAAGGAAACTAGCAGGTAACTTCAGGTTCCGCAACCTGGAACGCTATGACTCAACGACGAGAGCGAACGTCGTACCAAAACAACCAACCCAAGCCTAATTAATATTCCGTATTCTACGCTTGAAAAGCATAATTCATTTAGCATTCATACGAGGCATATTAAACTGTTCATTCATCATCATCGTCACCTTGATGTGTGTTGTGTGTGCTGCACCAGCAGGAGAAGCAGCGTCGCGCAGTGGCAATATGTAGAGGTACCTACAGTCGGATGCCCGTCGCTGGTGGGTGGCAAAGCACTGTTGCTCACTATCACGAACGAGGCAGGGGAAGAGTGGCATGTGGCTGGTGATGGTTGTGATGTGATGTGATGTGTGTATAGAATCCAAAGTAACGAACGACGGAAAAAAATAAACGGAACGTGTGGAGGCAGCATAAAAATACGGCTAGTCTAGTGTTAACACTGCGCCTGTCGCATACTAGCCGTTGCCATTAGCAACTGGTGGGAGCCGAAAACTGTTGCTTTATACTGCGAGTTGTTTCTGTTGCTGGGAAGCTTTGGGAGCGAGCTTTTTTGCTCTAGATAAGTTGGGTTAGCGCACGGGGAAATAAACATATGGTTGCATGACTTCATTCATAAAATTCTGCACATAAATCAGACAAGCGGTATGTATTGATGGGGAATCTAATATGATGCTGTAATTGAGAACAGATCTTGAAATCAATATCTTGGAAGTGCATTGAAAATGACATTTTCCAGTAGTTTTTTTTTTTTCACTCGTACTCAATGCCCTGGAAAATCAAGAAAATTTACAACCCGAGAATTAATAAACCCCTGACAAGTCCTGTGCACCACTACCCGAGTAGACGAGAATCAAATCAATAGCAAGTTTTACTATTAAAATACGAAACAGATAATGAAAAATTGTGATAAGTGAGTAATAGTTGTTGCCTAGTATAAAGAATAGGAAAAATCATAGCAAACTTATATCACATTTTGCTATTATATCTCATCATTATTATTATAATTTATTTATGACATTGTACCACATTATTGTGTGGCATTCGTGTCAAGATTAATTATTTACAATAGATTACTCTAACTAATCAGATTTCATTTAAGTTACTATCCCTTAGAAATTTTAATATTGCTTCTTCATTGTCGCCCAAGTAACATTTTAAGTTTTATGAAATACTACAAAGCAACTATAAAACAACATTCATAAAACCCTGTTCAAGGCTATTTTGTCATTAATGCATCCACCAAAAAACTCCTTCAGACTAGAATATGTCTGGTTGGCACACCCTGGAGCAGGTTCTGTAGAGTGTATTCTCGAAGCTCTTCAAGATTGATTTACTGCAAAAGGTTGTATTTATGACGAAAGCATTGAGAATCATTTGTAAGCTACAATAAAAGCAACAATAAAAACCCTTTCCGAGCCATTTCCCCTAGCCGCATGCTGAATCCACTAGGAAAGCATCAATCAAGATAGAAAAGGATTTATGAATCCGAACCTGTCAAAATAATTTAAATAGAAACTGATGGTATAAAAATCTTGTTGAATATCCAAATTTATTACAATAGTTCTTATTAAGTGGCCTAGTTTTAAGTGCCATATTAAATTTTATGTGAAATGTACGTTTTTTTTTTTTAATTCTTTATTTAAGAGATTTTTAGCCTTAGGCTAGTTCATCTCTATGATGTGAAATGTAAGTGAAAACATCGAAAATATTAAGTCCATCCTCGTAAAACGTCGATTTGACTAAGTATTTCACATTGAAAAAAAAAAAATTTTTTCTTCAGATCGAGCTTGGCCGAGACTTTTTTATTATTTTCGCATTTATATGTTTGCTCATTGCTAAATTTACCAAAATATAGTTATATCTAAGGAAATATTGATTGAAAATCGAAGATTGTAAAAAAAAACAAGCAAACTAATTGTAACATGGCGGTGGCATAAAAGTTGATTTTCAGGTTGTGAAAAAGTTGTTTTGCTTTCAAGAATTCCTTCCTTTTATGAAGAAAACTTGCAGGTTGAATTGTATTTATCTAAAGCCATTTTGCTGGATCCTAATCCGTTCAGATTTATGGCAGCATTTATGGAGGCAAAGATACCTGCAAAAAGTTAAACGTCATAGTTTGTTTATCTTTCGATAGTTGCACTGTGAGATCCAGGATTCTTCCAGGTGGTTTTCTCCCGATGGATTGGGAGCAGTTACTCAGATAGTTTGCGATACTGTTTTACAACATTTCGCATTTCGAACAGCTGGAAGCGCAATCGTTCCCGAAAAAGATCCCCGTCTTCCGGATGGTTACAGAAGTGCACCATCCAACGATGCAGGGATGTACGCTTGAATGAAATTTTCGAAGAGTTGATTCTTTCGCCGAATAAAATCTCCGCTAACTAACAGGTTCAGTGGTTTGCTGTCGGTTGTTATTTCGATTGTCACCGCAAGATCTGGAGAAGGCTGGTATGTTTTTCAACTTTCGACAATGTTTTATGAGTCTGAGGACCCCGCTCACTTTACTCTTCTCCGCTAGATGGTCAGTCGTTGATGGTGTGCTGGTTCTTCTAAAGAAGTAAATTTTGCTAAAATCAACTTTTTTTTTTTTTTTCTTTATTTTTGTGATTTTTAGCCGTAGGCTAGTTCATCACATTTGATAATCGAGGGTCAGGCTTAGGGCCTGCCTCGAAAGAAAGCGTTTCAGTCTATCATTACATAACGTACAACTGGCTCTGATTACCCACCAAAAGGGACAGACAACATTTTAAAAAACTTAATGTAAAGTGGGAGTTACATCGGGACTGTGGTGAGGAATGGATGCGCGAACAAGGTAGAGCTCCACCGTAAGAGACAGTGCCCCAGTCCGGCAGAGATACCCCGACGGCAGGAAAATAGGAAGGTGAAAGAACACGGACAGTGCAGCCCACGACGAGAGGGCTAGATTTGGTTGTATAGGTGAGCGTCCTTCAAGAATGCAATCAGCGCAGTCAACGTCGAGGGGTCGTTGCCAAGTAGCTCCCTGATGCTCTCTGGGAGTCGGTGTTGTTCGCGTAGCCTCTGAAACTCTGGGCAGACACACAGCACGTGTTCCACCGAGGCAGGGATGCTGCAGATTGGACAAACCTTGTGGAAGGGTGTCCCACCAAAATTGTGGGAAATCCTCGCATGGCCGGTCCGGAGTCTTGAGATAATCCGCTGGTCTTTGTACTTGTGGCTGTCTTGCCAAGGTCGTACGGTTTCTTTGATTTTTCTCAGGAGGGTGGTGCGTGACTGAAACCATTCCTCCTGCCAGGCTTCCATGATGATATTCGCAATCCAACGCCTGACGTCTAGGAGTGGTACGTTCCTGGTGAAGCGGGGTCCGGATGGACCAGATCCCGCCAGCCTGTCCGCTGCCTCGTTTCCAGGAACACCGCAGTGCCCGGGAATCCACGTAAAAACGGTTGAGGGTGGGGCA